ACCCTGAGACTGGTGGCCTCTCCTGTCCTCATCACCTTCCTCTTGTCTCACCTTCCCTTTCCTTCATCTGCACCAACAGGCTCTGCCCAGGCCCTTCTTCACCACCTAGCTCTCTTTCCTTTTTCTCTATCGTCACTTACCTTGTCTTCAGAACTCGTCTCCTGGTGAACTCCATTCTGTTTGGATCACTTGTTCACATACTGTCATACTGTCTGGTTGATAATATGCCTTTGTAACAGATCTCAATTAGTGTTATGTTTAGGGTGTTTGGGAATCATCTCCCAGCTAGACTATATCTCATTTCTTATAAATTCTTCCTCCTTTTTTCACTGAATAGGACCATTTTCTGTACCCAATTAAGCTTTCAATAAATGTTACATAATGAGGGCAGAGGGTGCCGGGAGCAGTCTCCACCACTGGATTTCCAGACATTCAGAAAATTATTATAAACACCAGAGACAGCCCTGCAATTCTAGAATATTTAATTGGAAGCTGTTACTTTCAGGATTCCATTTGCAGATAAAGCCAGTGGATTTTTGGCTGTATGAAAGCAAGCATAGTTCTATTAGTCCAAAAAGGCCTTTTAGGTATTTATGAGTCTCTTTGTAACCCACTTAGATTTTTTTAAATTGTTGTTTTTATATATACTTAATTATTCTTAAATTTACCAACTTTTTTGTAATAAAAAGTTTTAGTGTAACATTAAGATCTGGTCTTAATTGGGGCAGGAAGGTGGGGAGAGAAACTGCCATATGTATTATTAATAGAATTCAGTTTAGCTCCAGCTGGGTGCAGTGGCGTGTGCCTGTAGTTCCAGCTCTCAGGAAGCTGAGACAGGATGATTGCTTGAAACCTGGAGTTGAAGACCAGACTGGACAACATAGTGAAACCTTATCTCAAAAAAAAAAAAAAAAAAATTCAGTTTGGCTCCAAGTAACTGAGACCCAAAACAAACAATAGGTAAAGAAAATAGAAGTTTATTTCTCTTGCGCTTAAAAGTATAGCTGTAGACTCTCCAGGAATATTATAGTAACTCTGATCCACAAAGTCCTTTGAGACCCAAATTCCTTCTAGTACATTGTTCCTTCATCCCCAGGTATAAGCTCATGGGACAAAGTAGCAGCTAGTGTTCCAGTCATCACATCTGCATTCCAGGCAGCAGGATGGAGGAAGGAACAAAGAGAAATAAAATAGATCAAAGAACTATTTCTGTGTCTTTTAAGGGAAGTTTCTGGGGGTTGTTACGTGACATTTCTGCTTATGGCCATACTAACGGTAAAGTAGGCTGAAGAAATATAGACTTTATATTTGCCCATCTAAAAATAAGGAGTGCTCTTAGCGTAGAAGAATGGGATAATGCACACTAAGGAAGATCTAATCTTTGCCATGGCTACCCTAATTCATGCCCCTCCCAAATGAACTTTCTCAGAGTTTATTTTAATATATTCCTTTTGCCTTACAAACAGTTACTACTTTTAATATTTTAAAAAAGATAAATACCGATATGTTATAAATTTATAAAATATAAAGAACAAAATAAATCACCCATAACTCATAACCTAAAGATAACTACTGAAAGAGCATCATGTAAGACATGTCCTTAACACCAATACTTAACAACTTATGTCTTCAAAGTATTAAGCTGTTTTTCAAAGTTTATGTTATACTGTATATGCAATTATTTATTCCTTCAGTAAACATTTAAAAACATCTACTTTGTTCTCAGCATTTTGATGATTGATGTGTGGTTGGGAGAAGGTAGCAATGAAGGAAATTTTAAAAATTAAATTTGGTGCTCTCAGGATGCTTACAGTCTAGCGCAGAGAGACAAAAAAGCTTTTTGTCTTGCTAAAGTTGGGAAAATAAATCAGGGACCTGTAAGTGCCTTATTTATGTTAATATATGATATAAAGTTATACTAGAAAGCAGGAGATAAAATAATAACACTGGAAATTTTTATTTAATTGTAGAATAATTTGTACCATGAACAATTATCTGTAAAAATGACACCTTCAGAACACTTCTCACTTTTTTGGTTGCCAGAGAAGGAAATTTGAATTATAAGTTCTTTAGGTAGCCTGGTTTAGACAGTATGAGGAAATAATCAAGCCAAACATGGTTAAATTCTAACTTTTCCTGATTCCTAGAGTTAGAAGTCCAAAGTTCACTTGGGGATAATTCAGTGTGACCCATGCCTTTTGTGATGTCTAGAAGTTGAACTTCAGAAATAACTAAAGATGGGCCAGTCAACTTGTGCTAAAAAGGGCTGTGTTTTGGTGTGTTCTGAGTCCTGACATTGAATCAGTTCATCTTTCCTATTGAAAATGCTTAAGTGGGAAAAGTAGCTATGTTAAGAAATACACAGAAAAACCTAGGAGTTATGCCAAAATATTAAGATTTGCCATTACATGGTGAGGTATCAGTGACTTTTTTTCCTTCTTTAAATGATCTGTATATGAATTTTTTTTTTTTTACAAGCATATACTGTTTTGGTAACTGGAAAAAGGTTTGTTTTTTTTTTAAGAAACTTTCATCAGCGGCAAAGGCTCAGTTGAGATTAATGTTGAAGGATAACCGCTTGTCGCTTGCTGTGAGAAGAGTTCCTGCCGGGCTGTGGAACCAGGGAGCCCTGCTGGGGACTCTTAGAACAGGGAGGCTGATTGTGCGTCTGCACTTGCTCAGGTGACCGAGGGCTGAGGCTGCTTAGTTTCCACAGGAGAACACAGACTCTTTCATGAAGTGACTGGTATAGGAAAGACAGAGCCTTTCTGTGGATATGCTTAAATGGCTGGCTTTATTTTTACTCCTGGCAAAACTGGAGTGAAGAACACATTTTCAAACGATCCCGGTTTCCTGTTTAAGAAAACAGGGAATGCCGAACAGCTGAGTGTGCTCGTGCCCGGGCGGCGTCACCCAAGCCGGAGGGAGACTTCATTGGTGAAAAGTTGGCCTATGGTGTTTGCGCGTGGCCCGGCTAAGTTTACACAAATGCAGAAACTCTTTTCCTTATGGGGTGAGGATCGAGGGCGTCCGAGGCAGGGCCGGAGCTGGTGCGCGGCGCGGGCACCGGCGGCGAGCGCAGCGGGCCACGGGGTGAGCGCAGTGGCCGAGGGGGCGCGCGTGGGAGGGTGGCTGGGTGGGCACAGAGTCGTTGATGCGGGCTGAATTCCCCCGTGGCCTGGGCGAGGGGCGGGGAGGAAGGCTGTGGCCTCTCTGCTCCCTTCCAGCAACCCGGCAGGGTCTGGGGGGAGGTCCAGTTTGGAATCGCCGGCTCTAATGAACAGGGTCCCAGGTCGGCAAGATCTGTCTGCCCGTCTCACACAGCCTGCCGTTTCTCTTCGCTTATGGAATTTCAGACCGTATGGTACTGGAAACAGGTCTGGCTGCATATTTGAGTGAGCGCCTTCTCCATGTAGAGTTGAAAGTTAAAAAGGAGAGAAAGAGAAGGAAAGACATTCTGTTTGCATGAGCACAGGTTTCCGGCACCAGCGCTCTTGTTGGGTCCTCCCATTCTTAGGCTAGAAAATAGTTGCTGCTGAGCGCTTCTTTCACACAATTCATTTCCCACGTTTTAGAGTGGAAATCTGTTGCCTGCATTCTAACAGCTAGAACAATTTGATATGCTAAAAATTAGGTCCCAAAGAATACATACTCTTATTTCTCTGTTTGGCAAACCTACTTTTTGTGCTTTCGTTTCCAGTATTTCAGAAGCAATCGGGCAGATGGAGGTGAAAGGGTTATTCAGAGTGTCAGATGTAAATGCTTGGCAGTGTTGGGGGTTGGGAGGGCAGAGAGCAGCGGGGTTTGCTGGAAGTTACTTCAACCTTGACAGCAGTCAGGTGGGTTTCTATACCGAGGACAGGGCAGGGGTGCAGATGGCTTACATTTTCACTCATTGCCCGTCGGTCCCTTCCATAACTCTAAAGATGCAGAACTTGTTAGTATGGCTCTAGGAAAACATATTACTTGCTCCTACAATTTAAATAAACAAAGACAGCCTTGCTTTTAAATTTGAAACACACAGCTCAGGTCAGCAGCAAGGTCTGTGCTTTGAAAGGTTCTTGTGTTTCTTTTTTTAAATGTTTAGCCAGAAGTAGCATTTACCCAATGCCACATGACCCAGTGGTTGGAGTATAGGTTTGCCCTTATTTTCATTCTCCTTTGCATCTCTTTGTATTCATCACAAATAGAAAACAAGGTATTCCCAGGACAGTGAATGTTCTGTCCAAAAGAAGTCAAGCTGGAGAAACTTTCCCTCTAGTTGGGAGAGGGTTTTGTTTTGTTTTTAAATGGGGAGAGAAATTGAGAAGTGGAAGACACAAAATAGAGTTGAAGTCTCCTCTGAGTGGTTCTTGTACCCATGCTGCCAGAGTTATTCACTCAGCATCCATGCCCCAACTTTCTCAGCAGGGGAGGTGTCAAGGCAAACTGTGATCTTGTGGAGGTGGCCAGGCACTGCAGCATTCTTGGCCACCATGTAGAACGGCTGCCCAGTCTGCAGAAAAAATGGCAGGGGGAGAACGCACGTCCCAGGCCACCTGGTTCTGCTGCTTAGTCTGTTAGTCTGCTGCCGACTTAACTTTTTGTGTCTCAGGTAACACTTTATAAAATAGGAATCTTAATGTCTGCCGTGTATACTTCGAGGGACTGTAGAAGACAAATGATCTACTTGGCAATGCTTTCAAGTCTTATTTAATGCTTTCTTTTAAAAAGAAAGTACTTAGTAAAGATTTACTATGTGCTTGACTCTTTAAAATCATTATTTCATTATATTCGTTTAAGCCTATGGGTTGAAATTTCCATTTTTACTGAGGGGGAAACTGAAGTTCAAACATGTTTATTAACTTGCTCTCCTAGCTGTTAGGTTGTAGACTCAGAGTTAAAACATAGGTCTGTCAATTTTTAAAATCAAACCACCTTGCTGCACTGCAACATACGTAAATGTTAGTTTTTACCATTATGTGTATTACATGCTATTATAATATTCTCTTCTGTCTTAGATAAAGCAGATGACGTTTTGAATAGAGACCGTGACAAAGAACAGAAAGACCCATATTTTGTGGAGACACCCTATGGTTATCAACTAGACTTAGATTTCCTTAAATACGTGGATGACATACAGAAGGGAAATACCATCAAGAAACTTAACATCCAGAAGAGGCGGAAGCCATCTGTGCCATGCCCAGAACCCAGGGCCACACCTGGTGTATGGACTTCCACCGAATCCCTCTCATCTTCCAACAGTGATGACAACAAGCAGTGCCCCAACTTCCTTCTAACCAGAAGCCAAGTTACATCAACTCCAGTCCCAAGGCCACCAGCCCCTCTGGAGACCTCACCCCCTTTTCTTACCACCCCAGAAAATCGACAGCTGCCACCTCCCTCACCACAACTCCCAAAGCACAACCTTCATGTAACCAAGACACTGATGGAGACTCGAAGAAGACTGGAACAGGAGAGAGTCACCATGCAGATGACACCGGGCGAGTTCAGAAGGCCCAGGCTGGCCAGTTTTGGAGGCATGGGCTCCACGAGCTCCCTCCCCTCCTTTGTGGGTTCTGGAAACCACAATCCTGCCATGCACCAGCTTCAGAATGGATTCCATGGTAATGGGGATTATGGTGGCTATGCCCCGGCTGCTGCCACCACCTCCTCCATGGGGAGCTCCATCCGCCACAGTCCCCTGAGCTCGGGGATCTCCACCCCAGTGACTAACGTGAGTCCCATGCACCTGCAGCACATCCGTGAGCAGATGGCCATTGCCCTGAAACGCCTGAAGGAGCTTGAGGAGCAAGTGCGAACCATCCCTGTGCTCCAGGTGAAGATCTCAGTCTTGCAAGAGGAGAAAAGGCAGTTGGCCTCCCAGCTGAAAAACCAAAGGGCTGCATCCCAGAATGATATCTGTGGCATGAGGAAGCGGTCTTACAGTGCAGGGAGTGCTTCCCAGCTGGAACCGCCCTCCCGGGCCCGGAGAAGCAGCAGGGAATTGTACATTGACTACGACGAAGAGGAGATTGAGAGTGTAGAGCAGAGCACGCAGAGGATAAAGGAGTTCCGACAGCTCACGGCGGACATGCAGGCCCTGGAGCAGAAGATCCAGGACAGCAGCTGTGAGGCCTCCTCAGAGCTCAGGGAGAATGGAGAGTGCCGGTCTGTGGCTGTGGGTGCTGAGGAGGACATAAATGACATTGTTGTATACCACAGAAGTTCCAGGTCCTGTAAGGATGCAGCCGTGGGGACAGTCATTGAAACGAGGAATTACGGGGTCAGTGTGACAGAGGCCATGCTTGGAGTGACTACTGAGGCTGACAAAGAAATTGAGCTGCAACAGCAGACCATAGAAGCTTTAAAGGAAAAGATCTACCGCCTAGAAGTACAGCTTAAAGAAACCACACACGACCGGGAGATGACTAAATTAAAACAAGAACTTCAGGCTGCTGGATCGAGGAAAAAAGTTGACAAAGCCATGATGGCCCAGCCGCTTGTTTTCAGCAAGCTGGTGGAGGCAGTGGTGCAGACCCAAGACCAAATGGTTGGCAGTCACACGGATGTGGTGGACATGTGTGTTGGGACCTCTGTGCAAACAAATAGTGTAGGCATCTCCTGCCAGCCTCAATGTAAGGAAAAAATCTCGGGGCCCGAGCTGCCCATGAATTGGTGGATTGTTAAGGAGAGGGTAGAAATGCATGACCGTTGTACTGGGAGGTCTGTGGACTCGTGTGACAAGAGTGTGGGTGTGGAAGTCAGCGTCTGTGAAACAGGCAGCAACACAGAGGAGTCTGTGAATGACCTGACACTCCTCAAGACAAACTTGAATCTCAAAGAAGTGCGATCTATTGGTTGTGGAGATTGCTCTGTTGACGTGACTGTCTGCTCTCCAAAGGAGTGTACCTCCCGGAGCATGAACACTGAGGCTGTTGGCCAAGTGGAAGCTGCTGTCATGGCAGTGCCTCATACCACAAGCCAGCACACCAGTATGGTTTTGGAACAGATGAACCAGTCCACCAACACTGAGATGGCCACCCTTGTAGAATCCTGCACCAACACTTCCCTAAGCACTCTGGACAAGCAGACCAGCACCCAGACAGTGGAGATGCGGACGGTGGCTGTAGGAGAAGGTCGCGTCAAGGATGTCAACTCCTCCACCAAGATGCGGTCCATTGGTGTTGGAACATTGCTTACTGGCAATGCTGGGTTTGACAGGCCATCAGCTGTGAAGACCAAAGAGTCAGGCGTGGGGCAGATAAATATTAACGACAACTATCTGGTTGGTCTGAAAATGAGGACCATAGCTTGTGGGCCTCCACAGTTGGCTGTGGAGCTGGCAGCCAGCAAGAGGAGTGTGGGTGTTGGGGACCAGCCTGTAGGGGAGTTCCTGGAGAACCCCCAGCCCGAGGCTCCATCTGGGATGATGACTGGCTTGGATCACTACATTGAACGTATCCAGAAACTGTTGGCAGAGCAGCAAACACTGCTAGCTGAGAACTATAGTGAACTGGCAGAAGCTTTTGGGGAGCCTCACTCCCAGATTGGCTCCCTCAATTCACAGCTCATCAGCACCCTGTCATCCATCAACTCTGTCATGAAGTCTGCAAGTGCCGAAGAGCTGAGGAACCCTGACCTCCAGAAAACCAGTCTGGGTAAAATCACAGGTAGGTGGTACCCTGGGACCTGGGAATGAGGAAGGGTGGGAAAGGATGTCTTTCCAGGAGGTAAGGATTTTTTTAACTGCTGGAACGATTTTTTGGAGAAAATGGAGAAAGCTTTAGATTGGTAATAGGTAGAATGAAAACCAAGAATCAAAATCCATAAGTAATTCTGCTGCTTCTCATTATCTGGTAGCTTCACTGGCCTCTAGCTGAGGACTAAGGATAAAAGTAAACTAGTGTTAATTAGGCTAGAAGTTGTCTTCTGGGGCTGCTAGTTTGATATGATGCCCTATTCTTTGTCTTCTAGTTATTTACTTATTTTTATACAGAACTGTCTGAAAAAAATCTTATGCTGCTTGTACCCACAATTACCAGTATATTATCAATTAAGAATACTGATATAAAATGTTCTTAGTTAAAATTTTTATGAGGGGAGAGACATTCCATTACTTCATTTATTAATTCAGCAAATAATTATTGCATTCTAGCCAGGTGCAGTGGTGCACACTTACAGTCCCAGCTGTTGGGGAGGCTAACGCAGGAGGATCACTTGAGCCCATGAGTTTTGAGGACAGCCTGGGCAGCATGGCGAGACCTTGTCTCTAAAAATAATAATAATGATTGAATCCCTATTCAAGTTCAAGCACAGGCTCTGAGGATAGTGCAGTGAACAAACCCAAATAGAGTCCCTGTCCTCATGGTGCTTCCATTCTAGTCAGAGCACAGGGCAAGAGACCTGTAATATGTCAGGAGGTGATAAAAACTATGAAGAAAATAACTCTAGTTATGGGAATAGCGAGTGGCAGTGGTTAGGGGTAGGGACTGTTTGAGATAAAGTAGTCAAAGAAAGCCTCTCTGATGAGGGACCCTTGAGTAAAAACTCAAAAGAAGGGAATCTTTTCCCACTGTTGATTTTGATAAGTGCTTATAATTTTGTCTTTCTCATTCTTTCCCTTATTCATTGGGATTCCTGCTCACCCTTGCTTTTCTTTAAATTGAAGGTAATAATTGAGAAATTACCCTGGACTATTTTATGACATATAATATTTCCCTATGAGCCTCACTAAAATGAATTCCCTTGTTATCAGCTGCACTGTGTGTCTCACAGTGCATTATATATGCTCCCAGGCCTGGGGCCACACTCCCGGGCTTACATTCCTGGCTGTCCAGTCCTCGTGAACCCATATGACCTGGGGAAGGGTATGCGTTAAATTAATTTTATGTGCAATATAGATTCAAGTAATCTATCCACAAAAATTTCAGTCTTTTTCCCTTTATAACCTGAAAGGGCAATGATTAAAATGAACTGAAGTAGATATTTTTATATCTTCCTGGGTTTCCACTTTCAAACCTGAATTACTATTAGCTTATAGTATCTGTGCTGTGGGACAATTTGTTGTGGAAGAAAAAAATGAACATGACAGCTGATGTGTGGGTTTTTGCATTTTAGAATCCAAGGAATCTAATAAATGCACAGGGGAGTCATTTTAGCATAAACAGGATTAAAATATGTGGACTGAAGCAAAGTCTGAAGTAATTAATACCATGTCTGCTTCCACATCCTTTTAAAATCATGATGTCAGATGTTGAAATCAAAATAAAATTCTTAAATACCTCCAGACATAGATGACACAGTGGATCACCCATTATAAAAGCATTTTCTTTCCAGCCTTCCTCCCTCCTCCCCAAACTAGGGTTTCTGTTTCACATTCTTGCCAAAAATATTCAGCTGTAACATTGGAGTAATTTGCTTGACCCCCCTGAGCATGGAGACCAGGGGGCAAGTTTGGTCTGGCTGTGTTACAGTGGTTTTTGGTCTATTTCCAGTCACGCTGACATTCCACACATCACTGTTTACATCTGACCCTGCAGCCAAAAACCTAATTAATCAGCTAAAATACAGAAGACCGACAGTATTTGTGAACAAAAGAACAAATATTTTTAGTAGCACTTATTTAGTCGTAGTGGCAACCCCTCTCAGAGCACAGAAGAACAACTTTAATTCTGTAATTCACGTCACATTTGCATTTTAACCATTTTGCTTTAAAGTCCTAATGAGGAAGAGTTAGGTTAGGAAATCAACCCAGAGTATTCAATTTTTGTTATCTGGTATTTGTTACATGGACTGAAAATTAAGCTTGAAATAGTGAAGTAGAGATCTCAGCACCTGCAAGTCGCGCAGACCACAGTGCCCTGTGGATTCCTGTGCACACCGTACAAGGTAGAATGTTGCTCACACACGGTCCCGAATGCATTTCTGTACCAAAAGGTATACCGGAGCATAGAAAGGTATTCATTTCAAACTTTCTTCCCCAAATAATAGGGAATTTGGGTTTGACACCTACCAAAAGAGCATATAAATAATCACTTATATGAACCTAATGCTGTACTCTAAATTAAAGAAGTTGTTAATTTGAGCTCTGAAGCCAGTGTGGGTTCAGAGTCTTTGCCACTAGGATAAGTTGTCTTTGTTCCCTCACAGGGTTGTAATGAAGATTCAGTGAGTCAACTGGAGTAAAGCATTTGGAGTAGTCTGCAGCACAGAGGATAAATGCTCAGTAAAAGCTGGCTGTTGTTATTGAGTACTTCCAGAAATGGAAATGTAGATATATTAATAGAACAAATTGCTAAACAAAAATTGTACAAATGGTCTTTTGTTTTCAACCCAAATTTTTATCTTGATCATTCTGGCTAATAGCCCCTCCCACCCCCACCGCCATTATTATGCTTCTCCAACTAACAGTTTTATCAAGATAAATGTATAGATAAAAATGGGAAAACATGAAATAGCTACAAGAAATTTGCAGTCCAGAGTCATTCAGAATCACTGTTAAAGCTCAAAACAAAGTGTATTAGTGCCCAATCCATATTGTTCATTTTTCCCACAGTTGAAATTTGATGATGGTGTCACTTGTTAGTATGCAAAAACATTATTTTTAGCAGCATAAAAATGCCTTACACTCTAGTTTCTTAAAATTACAACTAGAGTATGCTCTCATAACAAATTAATAGTTCAAAAGCACATACAATAAAGAATAAAAGCCTTCCTCACGTGCCCCAATGGTAGCCCCTGTGTGCTTGGCATGTACAGGTGTGCATGCCTGCAGGCCTGTATTTTAGAAACATACTTTCTAATAGCAAAATTTGAATCATACATAGTCTGCCTATGTATTTTTTTACCTAAAAAATCATAGACATTTTTCCAGGTTTTGAGAGACAATGTCTTGGTTTTGATGCAGCTAGGATCTGATGGTGACCAAAGGTTCTGTAAAGTATATTTTAATTCCTGGTAGTTTGAGTTTAATGTATTTAATATTTTCTTTCATGGAATTAAAAAGTTAAGAGGAAGTAAGTTTCTGTTGTAACAAAAGCCTTGGGGAAAATGTTTATTATTCTTGTAAATCGATTGGATCGTTTTGGTTTGAGGAATGGGTTAATGATGCTTTGGGTTTTTTTTTCATTCTGGAGAAAGGGAGGAGGAGAGAGAAATTCCAGACAAACGACTAGGAGTTACAAATACTCTAAAAATACATGACTGTCTCTGACCAAATGCAAACAAAACTATAAAGTGGAATCTAGCTGCCTGCCACATGATTTATAGAAAATTAATCTCTCATACTCAACTGCTTTTAAAAATCAGTTTCCTTATTTGCACTCTTAGTTATCTTGGGTTTGTTAAAAAGTCTATAAACTTAAAGTCATCCCTACAACAGTGAAAGTGAGTTTTTAGACAGATCTGAGCCAAAGCAAAAGCAAGGAAATAAAGTAGTTACAAAATACCATTTGGGGTTAGTTTTCTCCTTGTTCAAATAATATATCATTTACTTATCCTAGTACCTGGTTTTTATCACCTTTAAAAAAATAAGTGCTACAAGAGCATTAAACTAACTCAAAGTAAGGGTTTCTGGAACCCTGCAGAATATGACAGCATGCGGTAGTGAAGGCCTACTGAACCCAAATCAGAAGAGCTAATTTCTGGTACTGGGTATGCAGGTAACTTGGGAGAATCTGGGCTTCCAGGGCCTCCTGTGTCGAGTGATAGGGTTGGATTAGATTTTTCTCTTAGAGTCCTTTTCAGCAAGATTATTCTTGTATAAAAATCGCTCTTCCCCAGGCTGCCCATCAGATTCAGCTGGGGAACTTTTTTTCTAAAATTCATGGGTTTCCTACCACCACCCAATAGGCATACCCAGTCCTACTTCAGGGAAATGTTGGAATACATTACCCTAGAGCAGAGCTTCTTAATCTGGCATCTGTGGCTTCATGTGCTTTTTGTGAAGAAAGTGCATAATTTTCACCTGATTCTCAAAAGGGATCGTTGACCCTCAGAAAGCTTGAAATTACAGACCTAGGTCATCTGTTACCTTGGGAAAAGACACTTCAGCCCTGAAGGAAATCTTTTCAAAAGATTTAAAATCTGTCCCCCCACCTTTGTGAGCCCTTCAGTTGACACTTGTTTGACAATTCTACTCTTTTAAACTGATGCTTTATCACCTTAAATGGGCATTAGTGAAACGCAAATATACTCTGGAAAATGAGGCAAGCTTACTTTGAACTTTTATTCTTAATGAATCCTAAAATATGCAGTTTATTTCAGGCTAAAGCATGGTGATTGGAAGTTTTAGATTTTCAGAACTGAAATGGCCTTGAGTTCAGCTGTTTATTCTTCTGAGCAGCAAGTCATATATTAGGAAAGATGTTTAAAGTTTGTTCTAATCATGTCTATTGATAGCTATACGTTAATTGTCAACTATATGCAAAAATGTGGGATGGCAACAGAGAGACATGTAAACTGGTCTGTACCTTGAAGACCATGGATGGGTCTGTACCTGTCCAACTGGGAAGCCAAGACATGTGCATCAGAAATGTAAGAACCTATGGCAGTATGTGTTAGGCACCAAGTAATGTACGAATAGAAAGTGTTCTAAGTTCAGCTGCAGTCAAGCTCTCTGAGGTCTTGGATGGGGAGGAGGACTTTAGCTATATCGGGAAGAACACAGAGC